TTCTTGATGATAGGATTCTAACCCATCTTTTCATTTTTCAGACGTATATGGTAGAGGTGGAGAGCATTCGCAGGGCCAACATTAGGGCCAAGATTTTCTTGAAGATGTTGGAGAAATACTGTCGCTACTGCAACAAGTGTCGCGAGATGCATGAGCGGCTGAAGGCAAACCCCAATAATCGGGCTCTTGGTGAGGAGTTGGAGAAAATGGACCATGAATTGATGCAGGCTATCCGCAGCAAGAGTGTGCTTGAGTAGCAACATCGAATAAAGGACGAGGAGATCGAGTTGGGCAAGGGGGTCACCGTAGAGTGCGAACATCTACAGGAGAAATTGAGGTCAATTCAGTCGGAGATGGATCAGAACTTGATCAAGGTCGGGGCGCTGAGCACGGAGTGGATGGGAAAATTGGTTGGGCTGGAGAACAAGGTTGCTGGGTTGGAGAGCATCAAGAGTGCTTGGTCCACGGCTTCGGCGAGGGCGGCGGCCCTGGAGAACACCATCCGCGTCCTCCAGTCCGAGCAGGAGTCAGAGAGAGCGACGACCACCCTTATAGAGGCAAGTCTTGAGGAGTGCATTAGTGAGATTGACCGAGAGGCATCGGTTCTGGGAGATCGGGTCACAACACTGGAGGTAGAAAATGAGCGACTGTTGGCTCAGATTGAATCTTCCTCCATCGCCTTTCCCCGCCATATGCATGAGCTTTGGGTTTACACCGAAGCCCAACGGGATATATACAAGAGTTTGTAGGAGGCAGATGATGTGACTGAGGCCGCATATGAAGAGGCGCGGGGGAAAGCGCGAGAGGCTCGTGTCAATTGCGGATATGATGCGGCGACGCCAAAAACCAATAGGGGCACGGACGCGGAAGGAGAATTTACCGGAGATGACAGTGGAGAGGGTGGCAATGATGATGCAGAGTAGAGTGATAGTGATATTGATCTGTTTTCCCTTTGTTGTTTTCTTCCCCATTTTTCGTTCGTAGTCGATGCTCGTTGTTCCTTTCTTCTTTTTCCCTTTGTTATTTGTTTTTTTATTGTTCACTTGGGCCTTATGTAATCCGCGACCATTTGCGCGGAGACTTTGTATAAAGAAGAATTTTTCGTTGTTATTTGTCTTGTATTCTACCCTTATTTTTGTTTCGCGTGATTTCAGTGCGAGATAGATTCCCGCACGGCGAGTCCCGGTCTTTTTGCACTTTTTGATGCTCCTTGTCCTTATAGGGTGTTATTTCGAACTTATCGAAATAGTAACCCGTCATCGTTCGATCGAGGCCGGACTCTTCTTTTTGGCGAAGGCCCTTGGCCTTAAAGGGTGTTATTTCAAACTTATCGAAATAGTAACCCGTCGTCGTTTGATCGAGGTCGAACTCTTATTTTTGGCAAAGGCCTTGGCTTTAAAGGGTGTTATTTTGATCTTATCGAAATAGCAACCTATCGTCATTCAAACGGGGTCGAACTCTTCTTTTTGGTGAAGGCCCTTGGCCTTAAAGGGTGTTATTTCGAACTTATCAAAATAGTAACCCGTCGTCGTTTGATCGAGGTCGAACTTTTCTTTTTGGCGAAAGCCCTTGGCTTTAAAGGGTGTTATTTCGAACTTATCGAAATAGTAACCCATCGTCGTTCGATCGAGGTCGAACTTTTCTTTTTGGCGAAAGCCCTTGGCTTTAAAGGGTGTTATATCGATCTTATCGAAATAGTAACCTGTCGTCGTTCGATCGAGGTAGAACTCCTGTTTTTGGCAAAGGCTCTTGGCCTTAGAGGGTGTTATTTCGATCTTATCAAAATAGTAACCCGTCGTCATTCGATCGGAGTCAAACTCTTCTTTTTGGCAAAGTCCCTTGGCCTTAAAGGGTTTTATTTCGAACTTATCAAAATAGTAACTCGTCATCGTTCGATCGAGGTCGAACTCTTCGTTTTGGCGAAGGCCCCTGGCCTTAAAGGGTGTTATTTCAAACTTATCGAAATAGTAACCCGTCATCGTTCAATCGAGGTCGAACTCCTCTTTTTGGCAAAGGCCCTCGGCTTTAAAGGGTGTTCTTTCGACCTTATCGAAATAGTAACCCGTTGTCGTTCGATCAAGGTCGAACTCCTCTTTTTGGCATAGGCCCTTGGCCTTAAAGGGGTGTTATTACGAACTTATCGAAATCGTAACCCGTCATCGTTCGATCGAGGTTGAACTCTTCTTTTTGGCAGAGGCCCTTGGATTTAAAGGGTGTTATTTCGATCTTATCAAAATAGTAACCCGTTGTCGTTCGATTGGGGTCGAACTCTTCTTTTTGGCGAAAGCTCTTGGCCTTAAAGGTTGTTATTTCGAACTTATCAAAATAGTAACCCGTCGTCGTTCGATTGAGGTCGAACTCTTCTTTTTGGCGAAGGCCCTTTGCCTTAAAGGGTGTTATTTCGAACTTATCGAAATAGTAACCCATTGTCATTCGATCAAGGTCGAATTCTTCTTTTTGGCGAAGGCCCCTGGCCTTAAAGTGTATTATTTCGAACTTATCAAAATAGTAACCCGTTGTCGTTTGATCAAGGTCGAACTCCTCTTTTTGGCGTAGGCCCTTGGCCTTAGAGGGGTGTTATTACGAACTTATCGAAATAGTAACCCGTCGTCGATCGATCGAGGTCGAACTCTTCTTTTTGGCGAAGGCCCTTGGTCTTAAAAGGTGTTATTTCGAACTTATCAAAATTGTAACATGTCGTCGTTCTATCGAGGTCAAACTCTTCTTTTTGGAAAAGGCCCTTGGCCTTAAAGGGTGTTATTTTGAACTTATCGAAATAGTAACATGTCGTTGTTTGATCGAGGTCGAACTCTTCTTTTTGGCGAAGGCCCTTGATCTTAAAGGGTGTTATTTCGAACTTATCTAAATAGTAACCTGTCGTCGTTCGTTCGAGGTCGAACTCTTCTTTTTGGCGAAGATCTCTGGGCTTAAAGGTTGTTATTTCGAACTTATCGAAATAGTAACCCGTCGCCAGTCCCAGTTTTTGGAGAATCAGACATTTTCTGGGGGAGTCCCAATTTGTTTGACATTGCTTGCATCAGAGGGTGCAACTTCGGAGAATACGAAACGTTGCTGTTTTGCTTAGGTTCGTTCTGAGCACACATTGTAGTTTCCTTGTCTGACTCATGCCTTCCGGCTTGGAGGTGTCACCGGCGAGCGGTATTTCAGTTGTTTTGCAGTAGTTTTTCGTTCTTTAATTGAGATGTTTCTCTACTCGCTCGCCCTCGCGACCTTTGTGTTCCTACTTGATCAAAGAGCAGAAGGTGAGTTAGAATGATACTTTCCTTGCCCCCACCCGGTGGTCCGATGGAGGAGAACAGGTTGGTAACGTTGTTCGCCTTGTTTGGCATTTCGATGTTTGATGGGGCGAAGATTTCTAAATTTTGTGATTCTACTCGGCTCTACTCCCCCTACCGTGCTACGCCTTTGTCCCGCGCGGGTTGGGTTTTTCCTTCGCCCTCTTTCGGTGGGTGATCGTATTTCTTGTCTTTGATATGGGAGAGACTAGGAAATTTCACTAAGAAATCCCCATAGGCTGCGCCAAATTGTTTGACTCAAAAGATATCGGAACTTTTTGAATAAATCAATCAAAGAAAATGAAGGGGTAAATCTTAGTCATACATAAAAAATTTCTGATCAAAGAGCTAATAGTATAGATAGTATATAGGATGAAAGAGATATAGTCGCTCCTATTGAAATTCAACATTGTGACTCCCATCAATCGATGGGGGAGATAGCTTGACATGTTTTTCTGCAGACTACTTCTTTCCTATGAAGATTACAAGAAGAGAGCTTGGGAGAGAAAAGGGGGAGGAGACCGCCCTTTATCGAGGGTTTTCCCCCACTATATATAGTCAAGGCATCCTTGCCATTTACTTTGTCCGACGCTCTCTCGCACCAAATATGTCTTGATCGTTCTTTTAGACATTGCTCCTTCTGACTCGACGGGTGTCGAGAATAGGATGTAGAGCGGGCCATGTTATCTTTTACTGTCTGATCACTTAGGCGAGACGTTGGTCAGCTCGGCCGTGATGGTCAGATTTTGACCAATACAATGTTAAGATTATTGGACTTTGATGTTTATTAACACTGTGTAAAAAGCTGATGCGGTCAAACTCATTTGGATTACATGGCTTCTATCAACCTATTTTGGCTATCCCAGAGGCACGGTCGGTTTAATGTTCTTTTGAGCAAAACATTATTTGGTATCGCAGACACTGCTCGATGTAATTATTACGTGTCTTGTGAGTTTATATATATCTGGAAGATCAAATAGTCTTGTACATTCTTCTATACCTGGTGTAAACTAGAATTACTATTATTAAGTGATATTAATTCATTCCTTCGTGTTTTGTTCGATTACATAGTAAATTTCGCTATGTCTATGGAGATGTGCATAGTAGCTACTTTGTATCTCAAATGACAACGGTACATATGACACGTAACCGTGGAACATTTAGTCATCTAGAGCTTTGTCTAAAGCAATTTCCAAAAAATTGAGTATATTTATTTTGGTCATGCAAATAGTAGCACTACAATTACAAAAGTCAAAGGCTCTAAATCACCAAGTAGCTTTACCAAAATACCATTTGCTCAACTGTCTCATGATTCATCGGGATATTTTATAGATACTTTCATTCTAAATTGCTCCAATCGACTTTTTTCAATTAATTGCTCCGAATAACTTTGGAGGCAAAAAAGAAGAAGAAGAAGAAAAAACTAACTTTAAAGCGTTGGCTATGCCAATTGAGCCCAGGCTTAGCCCAGGCAGACCCTAACTAGTGTACATAATGAGCTCGGGCAGACCCTAACTAGTGTATATAATGAGCCCGGGCAGACCCTAACTAGTGTATATAATGAGCCCGGGCAGACCCTAACTAGTGTATATAATACGTAATTATTATAGTGTTTTCCTTGTGTACTCGCATTTACTTAGTACTGAAGATAAGTTTAACGCGTATGATACGCGCACGGCAATACCTATAACAACACTGGAAAAGATCACAAAAATAAAAGTAAAGGGTTTGTTGGAATCTGCTGGCCTAGTCCTCGTTGTCTCCACTTTGACTTGCCCTATAAAATCCACAAATTCACTGTATATATCTTTCTGTATAAGGAAAAACTCCCAATTTCACAATCTCTCTAGATCCAACCAAGAATTCAATCATGAGTTACTACAATCAACAACAACCCCCTGTTGGTGTCCCTCCCCCGCAAGGTAAAAATTCTTCTTCTTCTTATTTTTTTATGATCTTTTGAACTAGTTCAGTATGATATTAGTTGTGTTTTTGGTTAGATCTGATGGATTTCTGGGTTTGGTTTTTGATTGTTGGATTTGTTAAATAGGATATCCACCGGAAGGCTACCCAAAGGACGCATACCCACCACCGGGGTACCCACAACAGGGGTACCCACCACAGGGGTACCCTCAACAAGGTTACCCTCCTCAAGGGTACCCTCCCCAATATGGTGCTCCACCCCCTCAACNAAAAAAAAAGAGATCTATATTTCAGATCTGAAGTCGGAGACCCATGAAGATTAAACATGTGGGAGGGTTTCGAGCTTTTCATAAACTTAAATTAGAGATGCAATTGACACTCGAATTCGGGTAGCTTTTTGATTTTTCTTTTTAGCTAATTTGATTATAGTATGCTCCAATTCTTGGGATGTAATCTTTGAAAACAAGGTTTTTAGATGACATCCTTTACAAGTTAGTCTGTAGAGCCACGATTGCTGAAAAGGGAAAGTTGTATAATATACGGTTTTTGAGAAAGGAGGGGGAGGGGTTTTGGGACAAATTAATTTTAAAAATAATGAATATATGTAAAATTTTAACATTATTTAGCACTTAAAAAAGGATTGTGATATTTGCTCTTTATCCTTTTGGTTACACATGCCCGCCATGTAGTAAAAGTGGTGTGTCTTAGGCACACTTGAGTGTGTAAGGTGATTTTCTTCAAATAAAGCGAAGTGTGTAAGGTGATTTTCTTCAAATAAAGCGTGTAATAGTGAATTGGTCCATAGCTGAGGTGGTAATTTATGCATTTGCCTACATATTTATATTATCAAAAATAATCTACTATAGATAAAAGATGTATGTTAAGGAATTGGTCTAGTGATTAATTGTGTCCTTAAACACACCTAGTTGGGGTCCAAATTATCTGTATACCTTACAGACCTAAGGTAGGCACAATTTTTAACTTATCATAATCCTTTTTCTACGTTTGGACTAGGGTCCAACTATGCTGCTCTTCACATAGGCTGAGTTAAATGTGTGTCACATCTCAAGAGTTTAAATGTGGATAATGTCAGTCATTTGGAGTTCAAGCTTAGGGGACAAAATCTCGTGATTTGGACTCCAAATGACTGACATTATCTCAAGAACTCCAATATCCTTGTACTCCAAATGACTATGACATTATCTCAAAAGTTTAATGTGGATAATGTCAGTCATTTGGATTGACATTGTCGACATTAAGCTTTCCCTATGTTGAAGTTATGTGTCATATATAAGGTGGAAATCTTCTGGTTTTTGCTATTTATGCTTGCTTCCTAGTTAGATGATAGGAGGTAAAAAATTGCTGGAATCAAGAGTGGTTGTAGAGTTTGGCCTCAAGGTAATCCGAACTAAGTACTTTCGACGCGGCACATAAATTTATTTGTAAAATTTCATTAAAATTGCAACAAATGGTAGTTCTGAACCCATAACTTTAAAGATACAATGAGTTCAATGCTAAAAACCTTAAAAGTTGAACTCATAGAATCTAAATCATGGATCCGCATCGGATTAGAATTGTGGCGTAAAAGTCAATCCAAGAGTTTTGTTGAATGTATTTCCATGCTTCAAATTATTAAGTTTATGATTGCAATAACTTCATTTAACTTTTTCATGTATATATATTGCTATATTGTCTTGCTATCAGTGCTTCTGTCTTTTCTTTAGCCGAGGGTCTATCGGAAAGTCTCTCTGTCCTTCCTTCCAGGGTAGGGGTAAGGCTACATACATCCTACTACTCTCCGGGCCGCCCTACTTTTTGTGGGATTATACTGTGTTATTGTTGTATACGTCTTAATTTAGCCTATGCATGTTTATACTGTTTCTACACACCTGGTCTTGCCAAATTTAAGGCAGATTACTAATAGTAGCTGCTATTTTTTTAACAGTTTGGCTGCACTGTGCTGTTGCTGTCTCCTGGATGCATGCTTCTGATGATGGGTTGTGCTGTAGATGACTTGTGCGAGTGGTTATTGACGCAACCAGTATGGTTTTGTGAGGCGGCCTCATCTATATCGATTATTAGTCTAGATTTTATTTTTATTTTTCTCTTTTGTCCTTGCTGTCTCGTCCTCGATAAATAATTGGATATTCAATATGACTATGCACACCTTGATGTGGTGAACAATTCAATGCTTTCAAATGTCTATTTCTCAATTATAGGTTATGTACATTGTGAGATTCTATTTTCTTTATGTTTTGAACCTCAACTATGTGAATGAACCTTGTTTTATTTAAGAATTTAATAATTCTTCAAGTGTCTATTACCCAAATATTGGGTTATGTACGCTGCTAGATTTTCTATTCATTATGGCGGATACAACTTTAGGTTAAGCCTCATTGGTTAATCATATTATGTGTGTCATTATTGGTAAGTGTTTGAATCATTTCAGGTGTCACAAGAATGTTTTAGAATGTCTTGGGGATAAACTTACAACAACTGAGTGTTTACACTCATGTAGTGGGGTCTGGGTGAGGTAGTGTGTATTCAGACCTTATTCCTATCTTATGGAGATAGAGAAATTGTTCCAGATAGACCCTCGGTTTAGTAAAGCATAAGCACAACATCAATAATACAGGAAGTACGTACTAATACTACTAGTAAGAACAAGAAAAAACCACCTGACCACTGAACCTTCTATCCTAATCCGGTATTGTTTTTACTACGGATAAAAAAATTAAGGTTTCCTTATCATTTAAGATCCGGTATTGTTTTTACTACCAATAAAAAAAATTAAGGTTTCCTTATCAGTTAAGATGAAGAGGAAATATTCTTGATTCTTTTTAAATGAAAAATTTATAACAACCAGATCTCATTTGTAGGATTATATTGGGTATGTTGTTGAAAAATTTATAATAATAACAACATACCCAGTATTATCCCACATCGTGGGGTTTGGGGAGGGTAGTGTATACGCAGACCTTACCCCTACCTTGTGAGAATAGAAATGCTGTTTCCAATATACCCTCGGCTAAGGAAAGTATAAGCACCACACCAATGAAAATATAGATAAGAAGGGACAATACAAAAAAGTCATAAAACCAGAATAAAAACGCGTTTGAAATATGGGTCTTCTACTTGCATTAAAAGCAGCAACCCTGGCCGCGCTTATCTGTTTTCGTATTGTTGTGGGACTAGAAAGGGGGTTTGCGTGTTGATATCGTTGCTTAAAGCCTGCGTACCTGTTAGGTCCCCCTTTTAATTCTTTTTGCTGATGATTTGGTCTCTATTTCTTCTTCTATTGGGCATCTCTTCCGTGTTGTCTTTATACATCTGCTTTATTCAATTTTCATCATATTCTATTTTCTTTTTCTTTTAAGTGTTTGTCTGTATGCTGCTTCAACGAAAATAGCTTCTGGAACGGAGAGAACCAGCTAGTTCTGGGTGTGAGTGACATTTTATCCTTAACCACAATTCACCCATTAATTCTTCAATATCAGTCGGTCGGACCTCCTTTTAATTTTATCCAAGCTTCATCCTGGTCATGGATAAATCACCCAAGTTCGGATCCATAAGCAGTGATAATTGCCCTATGAAGACTCGCTTTCACTACGACAAGAGTCAATCTCGCCATGGGAAGGACCTTTTTTGTGCTTCATTTTCATTGATATATCGGGATTTGCAAATGCACCATAAAGCAGGGGCGGATCCATTATAAAGTGTGGTTCACGTAAACCCGTGATTCTCGAGTTAAAGTCTATATATGATGTACATAATTTGGCAAAAATACGTATACATATTTGATGGAACCCGCGGTCAAAAGAGGTGAAGTGGTTCACTAATTTTAACTAGGGGTATACATGAATCGAGTTGGTTTTCAAAACCAAACCAAACCAACTATATCAGTTTGGATTGGTTCGGTTTTGTCGGGGTTTCAGGTTTCTTGGATTTTTTTTTGTTACATGAATATTATTTTAATCTTACTTTATTAAAGGTATAAATAAAATTTTGATAAGTGAATATATGTCAAGTAAAAATTTAAAAAATTGACAAACATGTGATTTATTAAAATCTTCTTATTGGAGATATTTTTTTAGTAACACATAATAATTATTTTTCTTATTCGTCTAATAATATTCATTAATGTACACTTTCAAGGTTAACTGAATTTAACAATTAAACATACAAATCAATATGATACTTAAATAATGATATGTTCTTTAATCTTAAACTATTTAACTACCCTTTCAAATTCCAAAAAGATATAAGAAATCTTGACATATGAATATAGAAGGACATAGAGATGATTGACGCATTCAATAACACTTGATAAAAAAGTGATACAACCTATTATTTAAAGTAAATAAAAATAAATGCATTTCATAATTCTATTAAATATTACATCCCATGAGAGGATCTAAAATATTTCTAGATATTTTTTAGAGAAAATTCTATATAAAATCTTTAAAGTATATATAAAAATTATATATTTATATTTCAGTTTGATTCGGATTTTTACTCAATACCAAATTTAGTTGAGTTTTTTTAATCGGCTTGATTTGATTTTTCGGTTTGAACACCCCTAGTTTTGGCCCTTATTTCCAGCAGCCTAAGATTAAGGGATTGAATTCCCTAGACCCCTACCAAATTTTTTGTTTACTTTTTTTTCTTAAATATTTCTTTCTTTCTATTTTTTCTAACGTAACTTTTCTTTTCATTCTTTAAATCACTAAAACAATTAACTCCCAACTTTTAATTTCCTACATGCTGGAGTTTACTCGATTTCTCCATCCTAAAATGGTGCACCCAACTTCTCGAAATTCTAGATCCGTCTCTACCATAAAGTATGTAATTTTCTTTTAGCGTCGGGATGGAGGTCATTATTTCGTTTTCTTTTTTATACTTGCTTAATTACTTAGTTGATACTCGTTCTATGTTTTACTCGCTTTATTGTGCTTTAAGAAACTTACATCTAGAATTTATTTGTCATAAGTAGACATGATCACCTTTTATAAAGGAAGAGCATATCAAATATGAGATTTTTTTTAAACTGCATTTTTTTATATTTAATTGCCATCTCTCTGCAATCTTTAGTTGAAAACTATATAAATTGATCATAAGTTTGAAAGTTCAAGGAGAAGGTAAATTGTAGCCTTTTTAAATTTCTAGTCGATTACTTTTCAGACCTAGTCGACTAATGCGGAGACAATTTGTACCAAAATTGTTAGTACTTCAATTTAAATAAGTACTACTTACAACAAACAGTAAAGGTCTATAATAAAATAGGAGAGCAATAAAATAAATGACACCAGAAATTTTATACTGGTTCGGAACCAATGTGGTATCATAATCTAGTTTCCTTGGGTTGCAAGGGTGTTATCTCTTCAGCTCTTTGTAATTTGGGTTAAGTACAACTTGTGTGATTATCAACGTTCACCACCAACGATTACAAGGTTGGTTTTCACTCGCTCACCAACAACGAACAAGGGGTGGTTTTCACTCGCTCACCAACAACGACCCTTTGGTTTTGTCACGACCCCAAAACCAACCCGGTCGTGATGGCGCCTATCATGAAACTAGGCCAGCCGACACATTTTCAAAGTAGTTTAACATTTCATTTAAAACTTAAATAACAACCTTTTTCAACTGAAATTCCATAAAAGATATAAAGTCAAAACCAAAATACGAAAATAAAAGCCCGACCTCGGGTGTCACTAAGTCATGAGCAATACTACAATTGTTCCGAAACATAACAAGACCAAAATAGTCTGAAAGTATCCAAAGTATACTAGAAGGAAGATAAAGAAGGAGAAAGGCGGGACCGCGGTCGCCAGGCAGCTACCTCGCTATCTCCGGTGATAATCCGCGACTAGAATAGTCAACAGCCGTTACTGTGACCTGAGATACATGGATCTGCGCACAAGGTGCAGGGGGTAACGTGAGTAAACCAACTCAGTAAGTAACAAGTCCAAACTATGTACTGATAAGTAGTGACAAACTAAACCTCAGCAATTATAACACATTTAAATTGTACAGTAAAGTAGGCATGCTGGCAATTTAATTATTCATCTCAATAGTAAAGCAAAATACCAATCCGAACAATGTGAAGTATAAAGCTCAGCAAATCTCTACATGGCAATGCCAGAAATGTATGAAAATGCACCGTGTGCTCCCACTCTCAAGTGCTCAACCATTCGGTATCGCATATGGACATCCGGCCCAGAGAAATCCATCCTGGAATATATACAACACTGACTTCAAGTCAACTGGTGCCGAGGAACAAGGGTAATCCAACCCTGAGGAGAAATCCATCTCCAAGTATCAATACTTCGGACAAATCCACGTTCAGGGAAATCCATCCCTCAATAATTTTATCCACGCTCACTGGGTGTGTGTAGACTCCGAAGGGGCTCCTTTCAGCCCAAGTACTATAACAAGCCAATGAAGGCATAATCAATAATCTACTGCGGCGTGCAACCCGATCCCATAACTGTCACTCATAATCAAGCTCTCGGCCTCACTCAGTCATCACTCTCCAATCTCACACACACGGGCTCACAATGCCATAAAACTAGCTCAAAACAGTGATATGATGTGCCAAATAACAACAACCGAGACTGAGACATGATATGATATGCATAAACAAGACTAAGTATAGAATATCAATGAAACTAATGAGATGACAACAAAAAACGGCCACTCGGGTCTCAACAGCATTGGCATGAAGCCCTAACATGATAATTAACATGATTCACAGTTCATTTCCTTAATCATATAATCATAACACAGATATCAACAAGAAAGAGTCACTAAGCGGTGCCATGAAATGAACCAGGCCACAATTCTCACGGTGCACGTCCACACACCAGTCACTTAGCATTTGCATCACCTCAATATTTAATTATATAACACATAGTTCGGGGTTTCAAACCCTCAGAACCAAGTTTGGAAGTGTTACTTACATCAAACTAAGTTAAATCCTACTCCGCTATGCCTTTGCCTCTGGAATCGGCCTACAAATGTCCTGAATCTAACTAAAAGCAATACAACTCAATCAATATTGGCCAAGGAATCAATTCCAAACAAAAAACTATCAATTCAAACAAAAATCCCGAAATTCACCCAAACCTGGCCCCAGGGCTCACGTCTCGGAATCCGACAAAAACTGCAAAATTAGAAACTCCTTCCACTCACCAGTCCATACATACAAGATCTATCAAAATCCGACTCCATTTGACCCCTCAAACCCTCAATCAAAACTCTCCAAAATCCCAAGCCCTAACCCCTCATTTCACCATTAATCACCACTAATTACA